TAATAATGATATGGATATCTCAATCCGGGAGAGTTTTTCACAGCTAGAGCCAAATGATCAAAAGAAATGCAAAGAAATTAAATTTCAATTCATAAACATTTTTATTACAGGGAAATATGATTGGATGATTTAAAACTCTTACATGTAAAAATCTATTGCATTAGGGATAAAATTTGTGGAGGAAGTAGAGGGATACAGGTCTACAAGGAGAAAAGGGAAGAAGAGTAACATTTTTAAAGTGCTTGTTCTTGTGTGTTTAAAATGGGCAATGGTAGGTATCAAATTGCTATGGTATTTATTTTCCACTGGATATATGTTTTAAAGTAATCTTGCAGTTTTATTTTAAAATGCAAATATGTACAGTAAGCCAAAAATTTACAGTCTTGCAACTATTTAAACTTATGATCGAGAACTTTTAGATGGCAGTTTAAAAATGTGCAAGGGAGTCCTTAGTTTTTGAATATTATTTTAGGGGTACACGAGCAAAAATGGTTGATGACCTTTGGTATAAGGAATCAAAGGACAGGATGAACAAGCATCAGAAAGGCCAGAAAGACAGATGGTGCCTCAGTTGCTGGGCTCCACGGACTCTGTCGGCACCACCATCAGCACGATGCAGTTCCAAACCGAGCCCAGCTCCAAGGAAAGGGAGCCTGAATGGCCTGGCGTGAGTTGTGCTCTGCTCAGAGAAGGATGCCGGACACCATGATTGAAATTTATGCCAGAACCACTCAAAATGTAGAGAGTGCAGTTCTCTCAAAGGAAACGCAGAGTGTAAATATCAAAATAGAGGAATATGGACTGGCTGGGAAAGAACAGCATTGGCCGGATGCAGACATGTCCAAGGGGAGTACAGGGCGGCGATGGAATAAGTGATGGTGTCGGGGGTCCCAGGACAGGATCCTGTGCTCAGACAGAGGGACATCTCCCTTGTCATGGCAGGAGCAGAGGAAAGACTAGATGAGGCTGAGGGGGCTGGTTTGCAAGTGAGGCCCAGTGGGTGGTTTCCCATCAGTCTACTAAGTGGGGAAGAGAATCACGCAGGGTGAGGGGCAGGTGGATCAGGAGCTTGGGAGCACAGAAGATGAGATTGATCAATTATTGTCTTATACTTTTCAAGATTTTTGTGTTTTTAACAGAGTCTAACGCTCTTAGTATATGGCACTCCATCACAATTCATACAACTACCTCTTCTGGCCTTTTCTCTGCCCAGACTGAGTCAGTTTTACCTCTAGTTCCCACAGCCTTTTGTACACATCTCTTATGGCTCCAGCCATGTTTATTACCCAAGTTTTGGGGAGGGTCCCTGGAGGACGAGTGAGGATGTTGATGAATTCCAATTAGATTAGCCTTAACTACTGTGGCTCCTACACAAGTAACCTGGGATTCTTCCATATTGAACTCAAACTCAGTTAGATTAGGATCTTCAGGTGCTAAGTGTACAGAAGGTGACATCTAAATTCCCTTTTCGGTGTTCCTCTCTGAATTAGCATTGGACAGGGGTGACATATTAGGGGTTGGAAAAGTAAGGTTGCTCATGGTCCCCCAATGGGTGGTACAGACCTACATCTGAATGAGTATTCACCCTCCCTTCTCTTCCTCTCTCTCTCTCTCTCTCTCTCTCTCTCTCTCTCTCTCACACACACACACACACACACACACACACACGCATGCGTGCACTCAAAATCCAGGGAAGTACTGTGTACAGTTTTCTCTGAGAGGGTCCTCATAGGTGAGAGTGAGTGAGGATAGTTATCATTCTAAGGGCTTCAAAATGAGTTGTGTGGTTAAAGAATGGCTACCAACCTCCTTCTCTTTTCTCCTTTCCTTAATCAAATTTATGTTCTTTATAATTTCTAAGTGAATGCAACATGGATATCCACATATGAAGAGAGGTTAGAATAAACACTGCTCAAGGTTTCTTAGAAATCATAAGAAAAAAAAATCTCTTCTTTCAATTGATCTATTTAATCTTAGGGATTAGCATGGGATAAATGAGATGAGATTTATGGTTAGTTCTTTAAAATAAAGCAGCAGTTCTATGAGTCCCCACTCTAAGAATACATGAAATACTCCCATTTACAAAACGGATTGGAGGAGTGGGGATTTAAAAATGAAGCCTATCATAGTGAAGTTTTCTTTAATAAAACCCAAAGTGGGTTTAAAATAGTCTATATCAAAATTTAAAACACATGTAACTTTAATACAGCTGTTTCCCATCTTGAGTGATGTAGGTATAAGAATATTTATAAGTTTTTTTATAACAGTAAAAGGTTATACTTTTCATAGCATACAGGTTAAATACATGACCTGCATGATAGGAATACTACGCAGCCTTTGAGAGAATGGAAGGATGTTGACATGGAAGGATCCCTAAGATATATTAATTTATAAGCAGAGTTGAGTAAGCGTGAAGAACGTGCTACCATTTCTGTATGGAAAAATACATATGCAATTATATTTATAAATAGAGTCTTTCTGAAAAGAGGCCAGTGCTGGTTATAATAGTTGCCTATACTGAGAAGAATGAGGTGGCTGGGAGGAGAGGGTGATTTTTTGTTATTGTTTCAAATGCATATATTACGTACTCAATATTATTACAAACATCCTCCTCCACCAATAAAAAAACGCCATCTTTGTATTAATTGTGGTACAACAATGTTGAACTCTTTTGTCAAGCTGATTAATTTCTAGAATATCCAGACCTATATATTTTTTCCCTTTCTCTCTCTCAATGGAAGATGTGGGTTGTGTTACCATTTAACTGTATGATATTGAGCAAGTCAACCACCTGCGTGGACTCAGATTCTTCATTTGAAAATGATAAGCTTAGACTTCCAAAAATCTTATTCTGGTCTAAGATGCTGTGATTATATGACTCGACTTTGCATATCTGAAAAAATGCAATAAATTGGCAAAGAGAATCTGGGTGCATGTCAGGAGAGTGAGTGTTGGTGATGTGGCAGAAATAATTGTACATAACTATTTTCACAATATATTTCATTCTTTGACCACACTTTATACATTCCCTTTAATTTCTACTCCATTTATCTTTGGTTTCTACTCAAGGAATAACAAAAGAGGCATATTCAACTGAAGGAATTTATTTACTTTTTTTTCTAGGTACATAGATGACATAATTATAGACAAGTTTTGATACACAGGGAAACCCTCTGTCCACCTTTCTTTTTGCTAAATGAATCGTCACAATAATTTTTACAATTTTTAAAACAATACACAGCTTTCTTGGGCTGAAGCAATTGCAAGAACATATTGGTACTGGTATATTACAGCTACTTACAATGTTTAAGAACAGCAATGGAGAAAAATAAGTTATTTAAATATTGATTTCATATACAGAAAGTGCAATGTTGTTAGTTGTTATATAACTTGCTTGACAGTTTCTTTTCTCTATCAATTTAAAATCAAGATAACTTGGACTCAGACTATTAGATTTTTTTCTGAAAATAACACAGTACACACATGCAGCAGTGACTTGGCAAGGTGACCTCTTTTGCTGCAGTTATGAAAGCAAACTTTACTGTATCAGGAACTGATTTCCACTAGACTAGTAATTTCCTATTTCACCCATACCTTGGGTCAGGACAGAGAAAAGGGCCTCTGACTAAGGCAAGGCCATGAAAAGATATCTGCTTCTTGGTTATCTGGGAATGTAAATAGTAGTTGGAGCTGGCTGTACTTCCGTCCAGCCAGCTTTGACGTAAAAATTATACACTATGTGATGTGTAGCTACCTGAGCCGAACTGCCTTTCCAGGTTTCTTTTGTGCTTTCCAAAGACAACAATTTTCACTGTTACTCAAAATTCTGTACCCAAAACAACTGATTAAAACTGGATATTGCTGAAGCCAACCACCTGTCTGCTAACATCCACAGGTGGCCCTAACCCACCTCAGTCAAATGTCACACACAAACATTCAGGCTTTTCTCAGACCAAATTCAAAGTTTAAAGCAAAAGAAGACCAAATAAACACTACAGATATATATAAAAAAATTTTTAAGCAATATAGTAAAAACAACCTCAGACCCCTCAGATTAGACATTTCCACTTAAAATTATTTACGGTCCCTGAATTTGACTTGCTTTGCAAAGGCATTGCTTTCCAAAGAATAGTGATAAAAATATGGTTTGGCATTCTCAAAAACTCCAGAAAGTTCCCTTTTCTGGTGTTACCTTTATCTAAATGAAAATCCTACACTGAGAATGAACTACAATTTGGAAATTCACATGAGATCTCTCCCTCTCCTTCGTTACCTTTTGCATGACTTCTGTGTGGTGTTTTTGCTCAGCTTAAACAATGAGCAGAATCTCATCAGAACGTCAGAAAGTCAAGCCCAGGTATTCCGAAAGCAGGACGAGAAGCCCGTTTTACGGCACCCATCTCCACCACTGCACGTGAAATTCGCTGAATGCTCTAGTTATGGGAGAACCCGGCAGCCTCATTACATTCCAAATGGGCTAGGCCACAACCCAAGAGGACAAAAGTGAGTTGTTTTTAAGAGTTCAATAGAAATTTGGCAGCTTTACCTTTTTATTCTACATGTCCACAACTTCTTCACATGGCATCCTATAGAAGGTGAAATATTATTAAAGAAACAAACATTATTTTTAAAAATGCATACCAAAGCGTGAAAAAAAATACATCACCTGAGAATGTCCTTTTCCTTAGAAACATGGATCCAGAGATAAAGCACATGCTCAGAATGGCTTTGTGATGAATGAAATCACTTCCCCCCACCCCCCCAGGGAAATCATTCGTTTTAATAAGTAGATGAAATATTGTAGAACTTTCGACCAAGGCCTTGCGTCAAGGTATTTCTATTATAAATGATCACATTTTGATGCTTAAAATAGTGCTCACGATGAGAATGTAAAGGAAAATCATTTTGTAAGAAATGGAAACCTTAATAGTTTAGTTGTATAAATTTGCTGTTTACTAGAAAATCTGACACTAGACTAAAAGAGGATAGAATATGCTGAACTCAGTTGGAAAACAAATGAAATATGCACATACTTAACATATGGCTAATGTTTGTCTGGCTCCATAAAGAACCTTTGTTTGAATTAAAAGAATTGTGTAAATAAGAAGGAGAACAACATCTTAATTATAAAACTGAGAAAACTTTTAAAAAACATAAACTTCTTCCCTTTTTAAACTCTTCTCTCTGAAATATGCAGCCTTACGATGACCTTTTGCAAAGGTGATCCGTTAGCTGATGAATGAATTTTGGAATGGAAATGGTCAGGTTCCAAGTCAATACTGCAGCGCAATGACCAACATGGCAACAATACTAAACTGATTAAAACGAAAGGTAGGTACTATAAACACACACACACACACACACACACACACGCGCACGCGCGCACTCGCATGATATCTTTGTGAATTCCAGATAGCTTTCTACTAGATTTGTAGTTAGTTTAAAAACCAAAAGCCAAGGTGAAATGTGTGCCTGACGAACACCCCTACAAAATAAGCCATGTTAGAATGAGATATTAGAAAAGCCCACTTTTGCTGAAGACATCCCAGACGTTAGTTAGATGGCAGTCTAAGCTGAAGATTTGGAACTACGGTTACAGGATTGTGGGCACTAGATAGATAACTGCTTAAACGCTTATATTAAGGCAAATAAAAGCTGATTGCTAGAAAGCAATTATTAAAATGTCTCTTGTTTATCTAAAGGAGAATAGGACTTTTTTTTTCCTGGTGCAGCCAGATGTTCTAACTTTTGAACAAATGAGCATGGTCAATAGTGTACAATAATCTGTTCCTTTGGCCTAGCTAAGCCCGTCTGGCCCTCAGCATCCTCAGGGTGACAGAAGGGCAAGGGCACTGTCATAAATGGAACAGGCGGTCCTCCCACTCCTCCCAGCCTCTGCCAGTGCACAAAAACAGACTGGAGGCACAGCATTTGTAGCCAGTTGGCATCTTCTGCATTCTGAAAATAAAAATAAGTGCTTGTCTTTTCTTTGAAGGTCAAAGAGAACAGCACTAATTTCCTTGAGGGGGCTTTTCTGGAAGAGAGGGTCCTCAGTCCTGTGCCAAGTTTTTGCATTCTGTTTGGCCACACGCCAGGCCTTTCTTCTGGATCTGGTCTGCATGTCCAGAGATGGAGGAATTGCATCAGCATCGTAAGCACAGTGAAAGGGTGGCTCTTGCCCAGGGAGGGCCTGGCTACATGGCCTCGGGGCCTGGCGGCAGTTTGAAGAGTCTGGCTGCGGATAGGAGCTTTCTTATGTGTCTCTCCTCTGTGATGCCGGCCTCCTGAAGGCAAGTGTGGGACAGAGAAGGCACTCGGCTCAGCGTGCTGACCCCTGCTGCAGAGAGGGTGCTGGTATACATGGGCAGACCGATGGAAATGAGCCAGTCCGACACAGACGCAATGCATCCAGGAGAGACAGGCTTTCTACAGATTTCTGTGAGCCCACCACTTGGGATCTGGATAAATGAAGAAAGCAAATACAGAAAGCAATGTTACAGGAAGTCTACATGTGCTGTTGGAGGGCTACTTCTTACATGTCTAAAAGGAATAGTATTGAAATATTGCCTTGGTGGGTTATTATCAGAAAGTGATAATGCAGTGAGATGTCAAAGATCCAGTCTAGCAGGAAGAATTCTAAAAGATGAAACAAATCTTCAAAGAAGTGTTCTACAAGGTTCTAGAAGGTGTTTGGAATTAGATCCAACCTGAATATGTCCAAGTCTCCAGACTAAGCCTTCATATATCCTATTATTTTGTCTCACTGTGATATACTCTTCCACGAGAGCCCTAAGGTAATTTGAAGAGCCATACCTGTCACCTGTGTGATAGTGTGAAAAAGGATACTCAATGGGTGGGAGTTTTTATGAAGTAGATTTTCTTTTTTTTTCTTCTACTATGTTTTGAATCTACATTAAAAATCAAAAAACTCAACATTTAATCAATATAACTACAAAGAATTTAAAATGCAAAAATATCAAGTGTTGGCTAGGACAGGGCACTGGACGTTTAACCTTGACTACTGGGTATAAAAGGGCTTTACCTTTCCAAAAGGTGATTTGCTAACGAGTGTAAAACTCCTTGAGACTTTGTACAGTTTTGATGAAGCAAACCTTCTTCAAAAAAATATATCCTCCCAAATTAACCTTGGAAATCTATGAAGATTTATTAACAAGGATGGTCTTTACTATGTTATTTAAAATAAAAGGTTGGAAAAGGTCTAAATGTTTCAAAACTATGGGATTGGCTTAATGATACTACATTCACCTACTAGAATACTTTGAAATATAGTAGTCTCCCCTGGATGGTTTCATTTTCTGAGGTCTGAAAATATTAAATGGAAAATTCCAGAAATAAACAATTTGTAAATTTTACATTGTTCACCATTCTGTGCAGTGGGATGAAATGTCATACAGTCCCGCTACATCCCACCTGGGATGTGAATCTTCCCTTTATGCAGCAAATACACACCGTCTACGCTCCCCGCCCCTTAGTTACGTAGTGGCCATCTCAGTTACCAGATCAACTATAGCAGTAGTGCAGCGCTTGTGTTCACTACACCTTTGTTTGATTTCATAAGGGCCCCAAAATACGAGAGTAGTGATGCTGGCAATTTGGATATGCCAAAGAGAAGCCATGAAGTGCTTGCTTTAAATGAAAATGCAGAAGTTCTTGACTTAAAGAAAGAAAAGACAATTGTATGCTGAGGTTGCTAAGATCTACGGTAAGAACAAAATCTTTTATACGTGAAATTGTGAAAGAAGGAAACAGAAATATGTGCATAGTATATACAGGGTTCCGCATTATCCGATGAGAGGGTCCAAGGAATCCATCAGGGATTTTGGAACACATACCCCATGGGTAGTACTGGGATAAGGGGGGACCAGTGTTTGGATAATATAAAAGAATTTTTTATTAACAGAGAAACAGATTCATGATCTAATAATCAAAAACAATTGGGTTTCAAAACTGTACATTTGCTGTTGTACATGTGCACAGAAATGACTAGACAGATTTTTAATGGGCAAGTAAGAATTGTATGTATTTATGGTGTACAATATGATGGTTTGATATATGCACACGCTGTGGAATGGCTAAATCAAGCTATTTAACATACGCATTATCTCACCTACTTTATCATTTTTTTCTGGTCAGAACACTATAAAATTGCTAACACTTCTTAGCAATTTTCAAGTATATAACATATTGCTATTAACTGTAGTTGATATATTATAGATCTTATTCCTCCTAACTGAACTTCTGAGTCCTTTAGACAGATTTTTAAAAAGTTCTTTGCAGTGCTTGGAATATGGATAATTTTCTTTTTTTTTCTTTCTTTTCCAAAACTGTATTTTCAAAAAGTTCTAGGTTGATCATGTATTACTTTCTCCCCAGGCGTCTCCTGCTACAGCCATCCTGAACCCTGCCTACTTGGCAGCCGTCAGCGGTGCTCATCATTGAGCACTGGAACTAAATGGCCGTCGGCCATGCAGGCTGCTTACCGCCATGCGATGCTGCTTCCGCAGCAGCTTCACCCGGATCTGGTCCATGTTGGTGGCGACGTCCCTCTCGGGCTGGTCCAAGTCCTCTGCATATCTCTGTACCAGGGCCTCAGGAATCCCACAGCGGCCGTGCTGCCAGGGAGAACAGAAATGTGGCATCAAAGGTTGTAAGGATGTTTTATTCTTTCTCCAAGTTACACCAAACATAAGGTAGGATAAGACATTGAACTACTGGAAAATATCACCGAAAGTTTTAATTTGAAACGAATATATTTTTTTTAGTGTCAGGATGGGCGCTTTAGAGGGAATACTTTCTACATCTTTATCTTCCAAGTACAGATGAGCTCTAGGAAAACGGTTTGAAACATAATTAAGGCAGAACACTATCATCTTATTATTTTGGGGGCCAATGCTTTTAACTCTCATTCAACCCATTTTGCAAAATATTAATATGATTCCTTGGATATTATTGAAGACAGCCTCTAAACTGCAGGAGAAAATAACAGACTTCTACTCTACAGACTCTACTGCTTGTGCTTCACCTGATAAGAGTTATACCACCACATCACTAGGCCAGCATGTACTGCAGAGTAGAATTCTCACTACTTTTTATTTAAAGGGGTTTATTTAAGAAATATCAAGGAGAGTGGGGGAGGAGGAGGAGGATTGTATTCTAAGGCATTCATGGTCATGAGAATTTTGTCACAAGGACTCTGGGAATGCGTTATAACAAAACATGTGTTTCCAGAAGCAAAGTGCAGTCACATCTATTATCATTGATTTGTCTTCAAAGGCACTTGGTATTGGTAGATCTTATATATTTTCTCCAAATGAGAAATAATTTTTCATTATAAATCTAAACATTTTTGGTACAGTAGGGGTGATTTTATATCATCTTTTTTCCCCTGTTACCCGTAGAGATAATTGTACAATTATTACATCTGAATAGGGTTCTACAATTTTCAAAGTATGTTCACATTTATTTTATTTGTTCCTAGTCATCCTAAGAGGTAGCTATGGAGCTTATTTCTAACCCCAGTTTATATGTAGGGAAATGAAATGGGGAGAGGTTAAAGTCTGAACACATACATGATGAGACATGGACACCTGAACCCAGGTTTCCGCTGCCCACTAGACCATCCCTTTCGGGAACCAGTTCTGATACTGATTGTTCTCCCTGCAAAGGATAGTTGCCCCAAATGAAAACAACCAAGCAAAAGCAAAAGAAAAGAAAAGTCGGAGGCCGTATTTGCATTTGATGTGCAGACTGTGCTCTGCATTCATCAGAAGGCTGAGTGTCCTGGTGGTGGACAGCAGCGCTGGCTGGGGCTCCTTCTGCACCACCAGAACAGCCCGTGCTGCAGGGCAAGCCTGGGGCCAGCTATGGAGTTCTCTCGCCTGGCCACCTGACTTATAAAAACAAAGGCCTGTGACATGGGCCCACGGCCTTTGATACCTTATCAGAATACGGCTCCTCAGTGAGATCGATGCCTTCCGCGTGTAGCTTGTTCTCAGTGAGCATTTCCAGGTCCACTCCCCGGGCACAGGAGACCTTCCTGGTCAGAGCCGGGCCCAGCTTCACGCCGTGCTCCTGAAGGCTCGCGCTCTCCGGGAGCTCTGAGAGCCAGGGGGGTGGTCTTGTGCTTGGTGGGCTGCCGGCCTCCTGCCCGGAGGGAGGCCTCGCAGCCAGCGCCGGGGGACAGTCACTGGGGCTGGCGGGGCTGGCGGGGCTGGCGAGGCTGCCCTTTTTCGCTGGCAGGCAGGGAGCGTCGGGACTGGGGAGGGTCCCGCCAGGGCCCGCAGGAACAGGGTGCAGGCCGTTAGCAAGGCGTTCTCTGCTCTTTTTGGCAGGAACAGGTGGAGGCTGTGACGGATTTTTTGGCTGCGTTCTGGCCTCAGGGACCCTCTGTTCAGCCTCTACCCCTTCTTTGGTGCTGGGGGGATGGTATGTTCCTTCCAAATCGTGTCCTTTTCCGTGACCCTCAAGAGGCGTCCTTGGGAAAGCGTGTCTAGCTCCGGGAGGTTGCGCATCGTAGCTCCTGGGCAAACACTGAGGAGGTGCCGAGCCGCGGTGAGAGGCTGCTATTGAGCCCTCTGCTTTCTTAGTAGTCGTTTTCTGAGGTTCAGAAAATCTCTTGCTTTGGGTCAGTAGCAGTGCATTGTCGACAGCAGAATCTCGCGTGGGAGGCTGGAGCTTCGTGGCAGAGGCGCTTGTCTTTTGTGGCACTTCCGGGACAATCTGAGGGGAGGGTTCTGCCACCTCAGTAGGCACATCTCGTTCAGCACCAGGCTCTCCTTGAAGGTCATCCAGGGAATGGGAACGGGGCCAAGTCTCCACAGCCTGGGGGCCCTCCAGGGTCTCGCAGCTCCGACAGATGGAAACCGGAAGGCTTCTTCGGTTTTTAGTCAAACCGGTCACACCTGGCGGGTCACAGCCCTTGGAAGCGTCCTGGCGGAGGCCACCGCCCAGCCTGCCCTCCTCCTCTCCCTGCTTCAGCGCGCCGCCCGCTGACTTCGTCAAAGGCAGTGTCGGGTAGTTGCCCAGCTGGTTCCTCTTGAAAGACTTCAGGCTGGACTCGGTGGATGACTTGGCAGACAGGAGGCTGGTTTTCCGAGTCTTGCCTGCGAGACAAGGGATATTTTACAATCGCATTTGAAAAGCGAATCAATCACATTGATGCACGAAGGTGTGCTAACATAATTGAAATCTCCAGCTCCCATAGCCTATTGTTGAATTACACTAAGGACATAAAATCACCATTTTATGACATCGGGTGATATAAGGTTATTATGGTTCACTTTTATTTTTAGAAAGACTTCTTAGTCTTATTAAAGGACTCATGGAGACTGAAATTAATTGAGTTACGTGGAAAGGAAATACGCTGTGTCAGGTAGTAAAATAAATCTAGGCTGAAGGTCCATTCCTAGCTGCAGTCAGCGTGGGAGGAGGCTGATGGGCCATACCCCATGGAGAAGCCACACTGATGGGATTTCTGTCTGGTGAGTATAATTTCCTACAGTCATGACTGGAAAATTGAGCTGTGATTGAAAAATTGAGGTAGACTGAATTCTGGAACAGAGTCTATGAATGGTGCCCCCTGTAGGATGATCAGTGAATACTCAAATCACGCCTTGCTGAAAGCTGCTCTAATAAATTTAACCTAGAAACAGCCAACCAACCTTGAAACAGACAAGTAAACAAACTTATGTGAGTACTTTGCCAGAGGCAATCTGTAAAATACTGATATAGTTCTAGGTCCCAGGGAAGCAACAGCCCTGGTTAAAATAAACTGTCACACTGATAATTGAACTGTCCACCAGACACGATCTATTTATGTGATGACTATTGAATGATAACTGCTGCCCCTGAAGCTTGATAAGCTATACTGAGAATATATTATCTATGGGCCGGGCACCGTGCTATGTGCTTTTCTCCCATCAATACTTTAAATACACACACACACACACACACACACACACACACACACACACATACATTAACTGTCCCTTGTTACATTTTTGGTTAGTAGCATGTTTGTTGTGTGCTTTGACACTGGGCAGAGATGCCTGAGGGGAAAACCCCAGATAACAAAACAGGAGCCCAGCGATGCTACTACGCTAGGCCCAGAGAGAAAGAGGAAAATCCTAAACCCACTTCTGGTTTGGAAGCCACAAAGAAATGCTGGCTCCAATCTCTGGAAAGTCACTATATTGTAAGAAAAGGTTTTCTCCCCAATTTCTTGTTTCAGTAAACATTTTTAAACTAAACATTTAACTTAGGATTTTGATTAAGTAATCTCACCCTTAAGTAATCTCACCCTTTCAATAAATAAGCAACAAGGAGCAATCAGGCCGTGGGCTGATTTGATTGGGAAGGGAGAGAAAGGGTTGAGTAGTGCCCACGGGAAGAAGGAAATGGCTACTTTGGGGTAAATGAAAGACAAATTCTCCGACAAAATCTCTATGTGCTTGCTGTGTGGACGAGGAGAGGGATCAGAAAGAAAAGACCTGTGGCTGTAGCATTACAAGTGGTTTCACCGTTATCAGTAGGGGGAGAAAGAGATTCCTTCCATGATTTCACAGCGTTCCATTAAGTTCACTCTAATTTCAAACTGATGATATTGAATGTATCATGTCAAGCATAATTCCAGACACTTAAGACTAATGGATAAGAACAGTGGTCTCAGCCAGGCACGGTGGCTCATGCCTATAGTCCAGGCCTTTGGGTGGTTGAGGTGGGAGGATCACTTGAGGCCAAGAGTTCAGACCAGTCTGGGCAACATAGTGAGACCCTGTCTCTACAAAAAAAATAGAAAAATTAGCCAGGTATGGTGCAGCTACTCAGGAGGCTGAGGCAGGAGGATCACTTGAGCCCAGGAGTTGGAGGTTGCAGTGAGATAAGATTGGGCCACTGCACTCTAGCCTGGGAGACAGAGCAAAACCCTGTGCAAAAACAAAAGCAAAAACCCTGAAGAACAGTGTGTCCTCAATCAAATTTTTTATGAATGATTCCATCCTGTGATAAGACACAAATCAACATGTAAATATTTTGCATTTGACAAAGCAGAGACATGGTCAAATGGCCACTTGTCTTCTCTTACGGATAATAACGTGAGACCTCAAACCCTGTCTCACCTGTAAGTTCCACACTGATAAACATCAATATGCTGGCATTTGTAGGTTATTATTTTGTTGTTACGTGGCGATCGTTAGCTTAATGTTAGTACCTACTGAATATATTGACGATGGCCCACTTTTCGCTAATGGAAAAATCATCACAGATAAATGGAAAAGGAAAATTCTTCTTCAGAAAATATCACATTAAAGCTTAAAAATCAGTTGAAGAGAAAATTCTTAAAACCTCTTTAGCATAAATTTTAGAAGTATGGCTTTCCTTCCCCTTAACTCCCAATATAAATTGGACGGATTAAGTACTATTTTCACATTCTGCTTACATCAGGAAGACCCCTGAATTGACCTTGAGTTCCAAGTATGGTCCACCAGCTTTTTTAATCTAGTTCTTCAGCAGGTACACCTGAGTTCTTTTGGGTATTAAAAATTCTGCCAGTGATATCTGTGAAATCCTCACCAATCCAGAATAGTTAGGGGATTAACTTACTGAAAATTGTTGGATACGGAAAGGCTATTAACAGAAAAGAAACATCTTCAGAATGTACATGAGGATTTTGATGTCTATTGACACTTAGCATGCTCTGTGACACAGTTGGGTTTTGCATCCGAGCTTGACCGGAGGCTACCTGAATATTAGGGTTTGGGGAAAGCTACTGTCTTTCCAAATTGATAGAACATCCCGAATGACAGGGATCATGGGTCAAATTTTGAAGTCCCCAAGATGTCCACCAGAATTGGGATCAGGGTAAGAAAAACAAGGTGCCCCAAGGGCACACTCTAAGGAGGTGTTCACACTCACAGTCATGAGAGCCTAGGGTTGGTACCTAAGAGTGAGCACCTCTTAGAGTTTGCACCCTGGAAACCTGCTTGCCTCACCCTAGCCCGGGTTTTGGCGCCCACAATGGCTCCCAAACTATTTTTTGCCATGATCACCAGGAAGAAACACATCTTACATTCATCATCCAGTACACACAGGTACGTGTATGTGTACACATACACATAAACATAACTGAAACAAAGATTACAAGTGACAATACTAACAATACTAACCCTTACCTTATGGGATGCACTGTGATATTTTCTATTCTATTTTGTCTTATAAAACTGCTGTCCAGGACCCACTGAATTGATTTCACAACCCACTAATGTCCACTGCAACCCAGATGTCCACTGCAGGCCTCGGACTTAGCCCTGGGTATGGGTGACTGTGGGGCAACCAGTCCACTTCAAGAGCTGAACTTTAAAAAGTTTGCTTAGGTAGGTGTCCAATAATAAATATCTTAACACATGGGCTACCAGCTGGGATACCAAAGGCAGCTAAAAACTATCAAATCTGGGCATTTTCCGCGATGGCCTTCAAGTGTTTGACAGAGATTGAGGTCACTGTGGCAGCATAAACCCTTTGCAATTGTTTCTAGTCTTGCTATAAAGGGAATTTTGGGGTCACGACAGCAAACTACAGAGCCACCCATGGTAACATTTAACACACCTGACCCCACTGCACTTAAGAGTCCTCGTCTGTTTGAGACAAGTATGTTTTCTGAAATTTCATATTGATTGCTTAGTACAGGCAAGCAACACACAAAACGTGGCCACCCAATCATTCTCTTCCACAGTGACTGTCATGTAGCTGAGGCACTGACCACACCGCGGCCGGTGTGACCCTGATGGATGGCCGACCTGGTAAGTGGTTTTCCTTATGGACCTAATAGCTCCCAACACTCAAATGTTGGTTTTTATTGTGTAAAGAAAAGGGCATAGGAGACACACAATTTAGGTTTTACAGCTGCAGCTATTTTAGATGGAATTTATTAACCTCACACAGCAGCCAGCAGGAACAGACAGGGAGGCTAACTATAGGCTAGAATGGGGAAGAGGTCAGGAAGGAAGAGATTATCACTGAGTTCATAATGGTAATAGAATTGTTCTTTTGGAGAAAATTGTCCTTTTGAAATCAGTAATTGTCAAAGCGGGGTCCTGGTGACCTGTGCTGACATTACCATTTTCCAGGTTCTCACTGCTTTCGTAGCACCCCGAGTCTCGGGGGGAGCATCCACTCAGGCCCTGGCTATCCACGAGCAGCTTCTCCTGGGATCCTGACTGGTCGCTGTTACCTAGAGAAGGAGAACATGGGGCATGAAATCACAAGTGGAGGGAAAGGCAAATGTTCAAAGTCAACCAGACCTCGATTTTACCCTCAGATACAGCCATATACTTTGGAGCCTTGGACTTTTGGAAGAGAACAGATTATTTTAAAGTAAATAAGATCAAAATGGACTTGTGGAGATCAGAACATTTTTCTTTCAAGTAAAAGTGTCAATCACATGGAGATAAATTTGGAGAGGAAGTACATAGTTGGAATATGTTGATCCCATTTAAATTACCCAAACAGAAGCTGACTCTGGCCTCAACGCCATGAGGAGAGCGGAAATGAAAAGCGTCCTGTTGGCAGTGGAGAACAGTCATAGTCCCTTCTGAGCCATGGCACCGGCAAAGAGAAGCAAAGAGTGAATAAATGCCTCATTCGCAAGGTGGGATTAGGGCATATGCTCTTCAGAGATCTGTAAGACTTGTGCTTCAAGCCATTTACATTATCAGCTTTCCAAATTTGGGAGCTAATAAAGTGTCAAATGAAATTTCAAATTTTATTAGCATTTAGGCACATTCTTAGCCCTTGGGGACACATGCTGGCTCTTGTCTTATCTCAGGAGGAGTGAGATTGGCAGGAGGGGGCCAAAGCCCTAAGCGGATGAGGGGCCAGTGGCAAATCTTCGCTTGCTTCTGTGGTTCGGGATGAGTCACAGGTTTTCTCTCTTTCCTGCTTCTCCCGTTGTCTTGGGCCAGCATTTCCATTTACCACACTTCAGGGTAAGGCAGGGAGAGCTCAGGAAACCCTCTGACTTGGAGGCTGAGTCACAGACATGCTTACGGAGGACTGAAAACTTCATTCTGAGGGATGATGTTACAGAGAAGCATCATCATTTCTCAACTGTACCTCAACAAAGCTGGGGAGGGGGGCAGGAAATCACGAGAAGCACGAGCTGTGTCTATTGGGTGAGTCTGCCCAGAGTGGACCACACGGGAAGTCATGTGGGCCTCAACCCCCCAGCTGCACCCCCCATGTTCTATACAAACAACACATGTAGCCTCACATGGGACACGGAGGCCACACGCAGAACATCTTTGCATTATTATGCAGAGTTAAGTGCTTGGTCACATAAAACAGAATCCAAGAAAACCTTTTCTACATAAAATAGTTAGTCACTGCAGTAAATGGCTTGATTTTCCTTTCTCTTCACCTCCCACCCCCATCCTTCCAACCACATACACACATAAAAATAAATCAATAAACCAGAAATGTGATGCCTTTCCTCTAGCCATCAAAACAAAATTGTGGGGAGGCAGAGGGCTGCCAATCCACACATGTGCCAGCTGTTCCTTGGGTCCACTGGCCACTTCCTGTTTGTGTTTCTCATAGGCAAAGCATTCTGGAACACAAATCATGGCAGAGATGGCCACAGAGTGAGTCCTTAAATGAGAAACCCAGATTAAGAGTGCTATTTTTAAAATGATTAATGAAAAATTAACTAATTGGAAGCACAAGAGCAAACACTGCCCCCACTACCACCAAACTGCGGAACATTCTAGAGTGATGTCCTCATTGTGTGGAAGAGCTTGTGGATTTGGAGTGGCCTTTGTTCTAACGTAGCATGTTATTTAGAAAAATGATACTTATAAAATGAGGGCTTTGCGCTATCCATTGCAACCCAGGAAGAGGAACCTGGGTGTAGTGTGTCCCTGGTGACAACAGCTCAGGGTACGGCAGTGGCCAGAACAGACTGCAGAGTGCTGACCCATGGGAATCACACAGAAGACCCTCCCTGGCACTGCACAGAAATGCATGCTGTGTCTGCATCTTCGGGGAGGCTGAGCCTCACGAGAAGACACCGCAGGATACCTGAAGTTATCATGGGGAGGGAAGGGATCCAACCCACTGCCTGGAAACCGAGAGTTCAGTTTGTGAAATCCTGAGGCCTAAGGCAAGGGGCTAGAGTCACTGTCTTTGTTAGGGAGAAAAGCAGTGGGGTGCCTTTTATATGCAGTGCAGAATCAACACCATAAGCTTTGCCCACTGATCCGTATTAATGCCAAGTGAGAAAGACAAGAAACAAGAGGAGCTAGAACCCTAAAAATCCTCGCAGTTGATTAAGAGCAAAGGGCTGGGTTGTGGGGTGGAAATCCCCTTGGAGCACGACCTGAAAGGCCTCTGTTTGGTCTAATGCTGTCCCCACCCGCCCCCCACACAGTGAGAATATGCTAAGACATCCATGAGATCTTCAAATCGCAAAAGGTGGTAGTGCACAAGGACACACACCATTTTTTAGAGCAGTTACATCGGGAAAGAAGAGAAGGGAATGGGATTCTTCAACAGCAGGACTTTCAATAGGCTTGTAACATATTACTTAAAAAAAATAAGAATTGAAGCAAAAATGGCAAAATACTAACTTCAGTTGAATTCCGAAAATACATATGTTTACCTTTGTTTTAATTTTCTCTGTACTTTTCTTTGTATTTGAAGTAATTCCTAATTAAAATGCTTATAAAAATTATTTATACTGAGCTATACATGCAAAAATGGTTAAGACAGTAAACTTTCAATTATCTGTATTTTACCACAATTAAAAATTTTTAAAGAATTTTTTTAAAGGAACTTTCATTTGGCAGATCTAAGACAGTGGGTTTGGGCTCAGCGCAAGGAAGACCTATGTGACAGTTAAGAGTCTGCTCCAAATAGAACCTGTATGAAGACGGGCATTCCCCAGGCATTGAGAGAGTCTGGACAAGTCTGACTTCCAAGCAGGGCTGGACATTTTGCTCTCGGTGGAAGGCTGAGCTAGAAAACTTTCAAGATCCCTACAGATCTTCAAAGATCTCAATAAACCTCTGTATCTCTCTAGTGCACAGAAATTTAGTTTGACAGAAACCTATTGTGTTCCTCTGAATTATCAGATACTTGGAATACTTCTTAACCACAATGAAGTTAACTGCAGTGGATGTGAAATCTTATAACCCTGGGATATGTCAGGACCCAGACTCTGGGCACTCATTGGTACCCCTGAGCCCTGGAAGCCTTTGTTTTAGAACCAATAAAAGGAAGTAAGTACTACGTTATCTATCAGGGAAGTCCTAAACAGTATAGCAGCATAGATCCAAGATGGGATTTATGAATAAGCAACGAGGCCTTCTTAGCCTTCTGATTTAGCATTCTGATGGATAAAGATACCCTCCTACACAGTGCCCCCAGCTACAAATATCAGGATGTGATCCTAGGAGGGACAATGAGCCCGAGCCAATGTGGCATGAAACCGACTAAGCACAGGTCCCTACTTACAATCAGGATTTAGCTTTGTTCCTCCTACATTGCAACTGAAAAAGGAAACGTAACGGATAGTGTACATAGACCAGCTGTTCTCAGTGGCTGAGGAAGAGCAAATGACCTATGTTATAGAGCAGATATGGTTCAGGAGAATAAATGATTTAATGTAATATTAATTGATATTAATAAATAGAGCTGGTCGGCTAGACCAGTTACTGTGAAGCTCTTTACACACAACCTGGCCATAGACCACTAAGGTGTCTCTTGGGAGGATTCGAATACTAAAAAGACCTGGTTATAAAGTGATATCAATCATGAATCACAATTCCCTGCAAATCTCCCCCTGAAGGCAGCCTGTTTATCTTGGACTTAGACATCTATTTGACGGTGTGTGTTCCTCTATGTTATCAGTTAATTTAAAGGGAGTACCTCTTTAGCAGAAGTGAATTTAACCTAATGACGCACTTGCTTCCGTGTCTCTTGGGCCTGATACACTCAGTAATGTGTAATTTTTTTTCCCACCATTAACCATGGTTTTGGCGTGTCTCTTAGCGATAGAGATGCTATTAGCTACTGATCTCCCTGAAGCAGAGCCCTTGAAAGAAAATGCATTTGAATTCAATAACTGGAAAGGATACTCCCCTTGTGAAGAATGATTTCAGGAATATTTCTGATGTCAGATTGAAGAATAAAGAGCAAGATAAGACTGGGTTAATGGAGCAAAGGCTACAGCGTATTCAAAACGAATCCATAGAAGCTGTGAGCTCGCTGATAATTCTGTTCATGGGCTATAAAAATAAGCTGTCATTCAGGCTGGGACTTTGCAAGCCAATCGAGATGGAATTCTCTGCTCTACACATTCGCTTCAGAGAGCCATTTCCTTCTTCTTTAAGGGATGCTGATGAATTTCATTTATTCAATAACCAATCTATCTGATGAGAAAAAGCTCCTCGTGTGCTTTGAGAAGTAATTAACCCTTTGCTGGGCTCCGGAGAAACTCCCAGTTGGCCGGTCACTTCTGTGTCCAGGTATCCTAATGGCCTGCACATTGCAACAGTAGCCAAGGGGGAGTCTATTCATTTCTTAGGAAAACCATAATTCAATTCTCTTGGACAGCTGGTGCAGGATTATCCTCAACTATTACCTAGAAACACACCAGGAAAGATACCAGTGGGAAGTAAGGTTTTCCTTTGCCCCCACGTTAGCAGGAATGAGTGTACTGGGAATTTATGTCTTTGTGCTGTTTGACATAATACGAAATTGACCTTGGCTTTAGAAAGAGCAGGACCCAATGAGTGACTCCAGGGACCTAAGCACACGTCAGCAGCATCCGGCAGGCCTGCCGGTGACTGAAGCACCTGGCTGATCTGACAGGGAACACCTGTGCGTGCAGCGGGACTTACTGTCATATTCCTGTAACAGCTCCACTGCTGTCAAGAGAACAGCTCTGTGTTCTGGGTCCCTGATATTTAACTCGTCCAAGTCCTCCTCCTCCAGCAGCTTGAAGGTGTCCAAATCTTCATACCCATTGAACAGGAAAGTGGGCATGTGCTCCTGGGAGGGGGAGAAAGGAGACAGCAGTGGGTCAGATGGCCCAGCCACGGGACACACCATCACCAACGAGCCTCCAAGCCCTACGCTTTCCCCCATAGTCACTTTTATGCTAATTGAAAGATTAGCAAGTATCATTTGTGATATATGCTGTACCTTCCAGTCCCCCAGCTCAGCAGGTAAGGGGGTCGTTTTATTAATCACGGGTTAAGAAGATGCACATCGCAGGCTGTGACGGATTCTGCCAGCTTGCATTATAATTGTGCCCTTGATGAGAGCTAATTCCTTTAACTCCACACGGCCCACAGTGGAGGAGACTCTGCCTTCACTTACACAGCTATTAAAATCCAACTTAGAAAGCCCTGTGAACCTCTGAGGAGCAAGGGTGTTTTGCCAGGAGGAAACAGAAATCTACCACTGCACCCCAACCCTACTAGATGCTGGGAGTGATGGTGGGAGGGAGGAGGGAGCTCGCCTTTGGAGCTGGCCATGAGCAGAGCATCAGGGGCTTTGCTTGCAGCCCTTCCAGTAGGAATTGTGACCTGGGACTTAGGCTTCTACAGAAATTATGTTATTTCTGTAGAAGAATGGACACTCATCATAGGTAGCAATGGACCCCCCCCTTACTAGGCAACGTAGATCAACCCCTGCTTCACTCTAAAAATACCCTCACTTGCTTAGTTTGGGAGAGGCAAAGGCAGCGTGTGACAAGAACACGGAGTGACTGACTTTCAGGTTAATCCGATCGAGGAGGTCCTCCACAGATTTGGGCTGGGGTGGTCTTCCTTTTCTCCTCCTCCTGGTGGGGCGCTTGGGCTTCTCTTCATCCTCATTCAGCACGTCCACGTAGATGAATTTGAACGTGCCAACTTTGTTGTTCAGCAGGCCCATCCAGGTCCCCATGGGCGGTTTGCTGATTATATCAATGATATCTCCTTTCTGTGGCCCAGAGAGCAAACATCTTCCCATTAGGTACGTTTCTAAGCACAAGTCATGAATCAGTCAGATGCGTGGGTCATGCAGATGTGAAAACATTACGAAGGCCAGAATTAGGGCTCCACAAGTCACCCTCCTGAGCTGTTGAGGTAGGAGATGACTGGGAGGGCAGCAGGGGCCAGACGGGGCACTTCTGACTGGCCCCAGATCATGGCCCCTCCACCCTCTTCCCCATAGGACCAGACGTGCCTGAGGCGTCTCTGGCGCTCTTAGCCAGGCCGCCACCCAGCACTCTGAACACCTTCCCCCCATCCAAAGCGCTCCCACTTCTTGGAGAAAGTGTTTCCCGCCAGCCCCATGCCAGCAGCACCCCGTCCTGTGACAGCTGCACGCATTTTGTGGACCTCCCTCTGTCCCGCATAAATATCTCTGTTCACACAGAGAACGCAGTCATCTTTCTTTACATGGAGAAAACACAGAAACCAAGGGCTGGAGAGGCAACAGGAATTCTAGAGGGAAGCTGAGGTCAGAGGACAGGGCCAGGGGATGAGGCGGTAACAGCAGAGGGATTAACACAAGACCCTCCTGCCTCAACCGCTGGCTGCCTTGTGGTTTTGTTTTTCACTACAGAGGAGACCAGTGGATCAAGGTAGACAGACATCGTCCCGTCTGCACCGTAATAACCCAGCATTCAACAGTAAGGTGGAAAGAAAACCTCTCAAAAAAACCAAAAGAGCCCAGTTCACGGCTCTGAGGCCAGGGAGAGAGATACCTTGAGCTTGAGCGAGTCTGTGTCGTAGGGGCTGGGGGTGAAGTCGGTGTGCACCCTGGCGCGCCCGCAGAAGGGGCCCCGGTAGGGCGGCTCTTCATCATCGCCGTCTTCCGACTTGACGCTTTCCCTGTTGCTGGTTGAGGAGTCGGTGGTACTGACTGTTTGGCCACCTGTATGGGAAAAACAGAAAGAACCAGAGTGAATACAGACTGCACACACCACAAAGCTGGGAGGTGTGGAAGGTATGGCCGATTAGCCAACAAAGGCCCAGAGAAAGGAGGCCGTGGGCTGCAACCATCGGGACCGGAGCCAGGCCCAGCCTCCAGTTCTCTGATTGTTACCCCTCATCAATCCCCTGCTTAGACAGGGGACTCACAGCAGGTTACCCACATGACATGGAGCCGCCCTGACAGAGGACACTGCGATCCTGGGCACCAGACTGTGCCCTTGCCGTTCACGAGCTCTCATCTGCGAAGTGCTTGACTTTCACCCCGTTTTACAGATGAGGAAACAAACTCAGAGAGGTCACGTAACTTGCCCAAGGGTAAGAATTAAAGCAGTAGCTTCAAACATGGTCTCTTCTCCCACATCATTTGGCCAACAACAGCCACCACTGGCCCTGAACTAGCTGCGTGGCATTTGTCGTCAATGACATTCCCCTTCCCCAGCCCTTTATTTTGTTGGTTGTCTTCGTGTGCTTTTCGCCTTGGCTTTTTCATCCTCCCTCCCTGGATCCCTCCTCTGAGATGCTCTCCCTGTCTTCTCTGATGAAAATTAGTCACCCGCTCTTTTGTGCCACTGCTAGGTGTCCACTACTAAACAACTACAATTCTAAGTCTGGAGAGTTTGCAGGTCTGACTCTAGTAGCACCCGTAGGATAGGAACACGGTCTCGGTTATCTTTGAATTGCCCGAACCTGGCACTCAATAAATATCTGATCTTAATTCCAAAGAAAAGCATCTACGGTTATAAACAAGACTTACTCATGGAGCTCTGCCCACTCAGAGAACTGCGAAGACTTTCTACGGAACCCCCAGCTTTGAGCTTGGGTTTGTCCATGTGTTCAGAGTCAGGCTGTGAAGAGGGAGGAGAGCCGGGCATTCCATCCAGGCCAGAGTCCTGAAAAGGGTTCAACAAAGTAAGTTTCATCAGAGTGGACAGGAGTTATTTTATAATTCTCAGCAATTTAGTCCTCAGCTAAACCAAGCAAATCAATATTTATACCCATATTGGATTCTATACCCAATATTCTCCTCCTTTTTAACCTATATCCTTGTTAAATTTTAAAGCTCTGTTTAATTCTAAGCCATGTTACTATTTATTAAGCACTCAAAAATTATTTTTCATGCTCCAACAGATATTCTTAAAATCTCCGAGAAAAATCTATCTACCATACAGACAAAATATTTAGTTAAAGGCTTAGAGACTTTTAGCACATTCACAGTCCAGTAACGAGGCTGGACTTCAACTGTAGATCAAGTACAACCCACTATTAATGTAATATCTGGAAGGACCATTAGATGGTATTTAATCTACTTTAAAGAGAAACACACTTAAAAAAAGTATACTCCTTAAAAAAAAAAATTGGCCAGATTCTTATGTTTCCATTTACACAAATTATTGAAATCCACTAAAGAAATGCCAACTTAAGCCCCAGATATACAGCAAAATTTCTATTTTCAGTCTATAATAAAGTTCCCATATATTCTGTGGTTTTAGCCCCTTTCACTTTTTTTCTAAGTGTCGGTAGTAAAAAGCTACGAAGGCTCTTTCGAATCGGAATGCTGACAGCGGAGACTCAGCAGTACTTTCACTTTTTAGGGTGGTATTGTCAGCTCAGCAGCTCCTCATCTGCACATATAAGTATAACATACTTATTTGGTTAGCGGCGCTATATTGATAGACAATATCACACTTCAAAAGTTTGCAGTGAGCATTGTTTCCTTGCCAAGCTAGAAAGTGCCTGGCATACTGCACGGCCATGTGAGCACAAACCAGCTAAAGGAAACCTGTTATTTGCATGGTGCTGAGTCATCAGAAGGGCTTTAAAGTGATTCTGCCCTGCAAACAAATTTAAGGACCACGGCTGTGGCAGCTTCTGATCCAACATACACTTGAGCTTTACATTTGAGGAAAGTGAGCAAACAGCCTCAAAAACAACTACAAACAGAGTTGCCACTATTGGGAAGTTACTGAACCTGCAAAGTATGAATTCCTTAAAAAAAATTCCATGTTTCCTTTCTGAATTATGAAATAAGTGATCTTTCCATTTAAAACCTTTTGTAATGGTTCTGGGAAAAGCACGCATTTTGAAAAACAGCAGCATTAAATAGATAATCTCTGATATATGTTCTCAAATGGTTTAAAAAAATCTATTAATCACATTATTTATTGATTACCTATAAGAACGGGTACTATTCCAGGTTCTGGGCATATAGCAAAAACAGAGAAAACAAAAATCACTACTATAATGGTAGATATATTTACTAAAAAGTTTTTTTTTAAAACCACACAAAATCTCACATTAATTTTCTCTTTCCAGAAAGCATTATAATGATCAATTGTTTCTTTTTTTCCTTAACTTAATGTGAAATGATTGCTTTAAAAAAAAAAACAGAGCACTAAGAATACAAGATTGCTATAAGGTAGTAAAATTATAGAAAAATGTTCAAAATGACATTAAAATTCTATGCTCATGATCCATAAAGCAGAAAATTGCTGAGAACATAAGCTTATAAGGGCTTTTAGTGGCTGCTTCAATCGTGGGTAAAAGCAAACTTAATAAAGTGCTTTAAATTAGTGGCAGTTCTTTCTCTGGCAGGCTGTCAGCGGCAGAGGAGTGCGCACAGTTACTGCATTGCTAGGCAGAAACACAGAATCACCATCATGTCTTCACTCACAGGGACAAGAAAATGAAAAGAATAAGGAAAAAAATCATGGTGAAGACGCACTGAAGGCAGCCCAGACTTCCCCTGCAGGTCTAACAAGCCGGAACACCACTGGCATTTTGGGTGGGGAATTCTTTGCTGTGGGGCCATCCCATGCATGCAGGGACATTTAGTAGCATCTCTGGCCCACTAGATGCCAGTAACAAGCACCTCACTCCAACCCAGTATGACTGTCACAGATAACACCAGACATTGCCCCGTGGCCCGTGGGGGAGCAAAAATCATGGCCCCTTCCCATCTCCCCTCCCCCACGAGAACCACTGTAATTAACTGAAGCTGTCCCCAGGTTTTGTTTGAATCCCAGTGCAGTGGCTGGCTGGCAGTGTTGAGCGATTCACACAGGGCGATGCTTGGTTTTAGCTCACTCTGGCCACCAGAGGGCAGCAGCTGAGCAACAATGTTTGCTTTCCTGGCTGTTTTTATTTGGTAGATAAAGCAGCATCCCCGACATATTTCAAGTAGACGGCCAGCTCATATATGGGGACTTCAATGGGCTACAAAGGTTACTATAAAGGTGCCAGAGGAGAGTGTTTTGAAAATCTAATGGTCAAAATTACCTCGAGGCCCCGCACTCCAAGTCTCTTTATTCCCTCCACCCGTGCGATTAAGACAGAAACGGGTCATATTTCTAGCGATGAAATTACAGAACAAGGGGAGGAAAAATCAATTCTGTGATAGCTTAATGGCTAAGACAGGGCCAGTTAAGCGAAAACATCCCCCTCAGAAACATGATTACTGCTGAAGTCCGGTAGCCAGGAAGTACTTTCTGAGTTTACTTCTCAGACCGGCTATGTGCTTCTAGAACAATTTATGCTACATTTGGCAAGTCTGTTGTCCAGAAAACTTTTTTAGGTTTGATTCTGGTGACATCCGTTTTGTAGCAAGGGATATTATAGAAAGTAAAATCCGTGCTTTGTGTTGAAATTTCTAGTGCTTATTGCAAAAAGGATAATCCTTTTTTTATTCGTGTCTTTCCTCTTGTCTTGTCCATAGAAGGCCAAGGGAGAGACTGTATTTTTTATTCCCAGCACCAAGCACAGTGCCTGAATAATACAAAGTGTTTAACAAATGCTCATTGAATTGAATGTTTATCCATATAAACAAAGCGTGGTCCTACAGTAGGTTAATGCCAGGGAATATACGTAGTTAGCACCGTTTAAAAGCACAACTTAGAATCTCAGACGGGTCACCTTCAGCTTTCCTTGTTGTTAGGGAGAACCTAGGGGCTTTCTGCTAGGTAGCCACTTACCTGCTCAGAGACAGAACTGCTGTACTTTTTAGACATTCTTTTCCTCATTGTCTCTTTCACCGATTTCACCTTTTTCCCGAGGGAGATGCGGGAGGCAGTGGGTGATTTGATTACTTCTTTGTACACAAAATCTCCTTCTTTACCCTGTAAAACAGAATGTTCCAAGTCCTGTTAGTCACAGAAAATGAAGCCCAGAAACAAGTTTTATTATTCAAACCATTAATGTTCTAGCTCTCAGAAAAATATTAGCATTCCCCCAAATCTTCAAGTTTTTCTCATGTTAACTCAGTGCTGCTTCTCATCTCTTTGATTAAAAATTAAAACCTATTGACTAAGGGGCTTCTTGTTTGTTTGGTCAAAGTAGGATATCAGTCATTTTTTATTATATTTAATCTTAGTACATTCTTGCCAGTTTTATTTTTTCCATCATCTTAAACACCTAGGGGGACTGCATTTCATCAAAGAGTGATTTACTTGAACCAATATTCATGTAATCCCAGGAGTGTGGCAGAAGAGGGGGAGAATACCACTGAGTCACCCGAGGAAAGGGGTAAGAACACAATGGTGAGAGCTCAGTCATTAGAAGTACAACATCCGATTCGATTTCTGTCACTGCACAGCTCAGTGTGGTCAACTCCTAAGAGTGTCAATTTCCTTCTCCTAACAAGCTAGATTGTGGTCACCTCTTATTCAATTTTGCATTAAGAAAAAATTTTTTAAAAACCCAAAACTTTCCCTTGGGAAAGGAAAAGAAATCATACTTTCATTTTTTGAAAAGATGGACTACATACAATTATTGGTTTAAAAATCAATAAAACTCGATACTCAAATAAAATAGCTTAATTCTCTTCCAGGAAATTCTGAAACACTTCATATAGATCACAGAGGGGTATTTTAGCTGATCCAGGATCATAACAAATATAAAGCATGAAATCCTCATTTTAGAGTTTCATGACAAGATACACAAGGGACAAGCAAAACTGTGTCTAAGACTCACCTCCAGCATTGGGGCCTGAGAAAGCAAACTTCAGGGAACAAAACTCGTGTACCACAGTGGTGGTCTATTCCTAAACTATGATCCAGAAGCAGGTCTGAGAAGGTAATAACCTTGACCCTGAGGTCTCTGGTTTGCTTTGGCCCCAAGGGGACTGGGTTCATTCCAGAACACCCCAGATCACGAAGGCCTGGGCCCTTCAGGGCCGGGTACTGGGCCCACGGTAAGACCGATTGTTTTGAAATGCTAGTGCAGACTCTTGGTCTCCAAATCACAGGGCTCCATCCTGTTGCACTATGTGCGTGTAATAGTATGTGCTTGCAAATAGCGTGAAAAAAAGACCATGTGCACAAATGACTCAGACCATAGAAGCCAAACTCATCTGGATTTGTTACTTGAAGAAAATTGGAAACAAAAGCCTTAAAGGAACTGTGTTACTTCCAGGAGGGAGGTGGTGGCCAGAGTGGTCATCATTCCTTCCACATGGTGCAGAGGAGAGTCTTCAAGATGGGTGAAATAGGATTGCTTTCCAAGCATGATTAAGGTTTACCAAGGAAAACATTACCCAGTATCCACTCTCAAACACAGCAAATGGGAAACTATCGTCAAACACATCATCTGAATCCAAACCTTTTGCTTTCCTCTGACATATACTCACCATTGGGTCAGAATTATTACTGCCAATGTGCAGAGAACGATTTGTCAAGTCAAATCCTCCAAAACTGCAGGTTCTCTATGGAAAAGAGAGGGCAGGGCAGAAATAATTCAGTTACGCAAGCGAGCAGGCAGTGTACCAACCCACTTCCCACTTGCAGGACAGCTCTGATTCACGAATATGTGTAAAGGATGAAAGTAGAAAACAAGAAACAATGAGGAAAAAAACACATGATTCATGTCATAAGGAAGTGTCACTAATTTTTCCCTTTCACAGGCCGCTGGAACTTTGCCTACACCAGAGGTCTACAATCTCCTTAACCCCCTTAACATGCAGAAATCAACCATTTACCACCCCTTCCCCCCAAAAAACCCAGAAAACCTCCACGACTTTACATGAGTTTAGTGCTGTCAGATTCCTGTCTCTTAGCACAGAACTTCCCTCCATATCAACTACATACAGCAGTAAAAACGGAGGGATTTGTATTAGACAATCCATGTGCTCCATGGTTTTGGAAACCCAGGTCTGAAATCCTACAGCTCTGACACCAACAGCAAGATTTTCGGACAGATTTTGTTTTGTTTAGTTTTAAATCGCTGAGAAGGGGGGAGAAAAGGGTATGTTTATAGTAGTCCAATCAAGCCAAGAGGATTACTCACTCATTGCTTCCCCATCCTAGCCAACAATGCTGATCACTTACCCATCTCACCGCCCCACTGAATTAAAGGTGACCCCTTTTCTCACAGTGGATGAAGTGGTCACACCACATTTGCCCAGGAAAAGGGGTTGATTCAATGACTGTCTTTGACCATCCTCTTTAATTTCAATAGGAAAAATGCTGATGTTATACAGAATGAAAACTCCACTGTCCTTTTAGTTTGCTTAAAACTTTACGGAGCTGCTTAAATTTCAGTAATTTCTTTTTATTTTGCAGAACTTGGTTCAAATTCGCTGTTGTTGTTCTAGCAAAAGCCACTCAATGATTGTCCTACTCCCCCAAAGCACTCTAATTTTGTCGCAACAAATTATCTTTTTCGGAAATTGGTAATAAAAGTTGAACAACAGGTTTGGGCTTTACCATTCTACTTTACCAGTTTTTTAGAGAACCCTAAGCACTAGCTATTAAATGGAAAAAATGAACAGAAAAGTACAACATATACTATAAGCATTGCTTATTTAAAATAAATATACTTTAGATACATATCAATTAACTGAATTGAGAGAGTAGAAGGAAAAGGCCTAGGCTGTTAGAATCACACAGATGTAGACCCAAATCTTGGTTCTGCCACTTACTTGCTGTGATCACAGGTGAAGTACTTAACTCTCTGAGCTTTGGCTTCTTCATCAGTGAACTATATCTACATCATGTACTTGAAGACTTCTAGCACACTGTCTGACACAGGGCACACACTCCATGAATGCCGGTCTCTCCTATTACTTCTCGTTAAGGCTGTACTGAGAATTTGGTTGCTTGCCCTGACAACTGTCATATTGAATTCTTAGTCAACATTACAAATATGCAAATTAAGGGCTGTAGCTTTGTTCTGGGCCTTACGATCTGGGGGTTCAATTGTAAAACGAAGGCATCCCAGCAATGGGCCACAAAATGAGAAATGGCAGTTGTAGCAAAGAGAAGGGCCAGGCAGGAGAGGAGGAAGACATCTCAGGATAACCACCATCAGGGTATCACAGATCTTTTGTTCTTCACCAATGCTATTGCTGCCGTATTAAACAACCTATTACTGATTTGTTTTCCAGCGGTCATTACCCTAATTGTATGTTATATATCAATGGGAATCTGATTTTCTTTATAGCCAACTTAACTGGACCTATATCTACTCTTTCTACACAAAACACTCACGGAATCACCCACCGGAGCAAGTCATGTCATGACTATTCCTCCAGGCTAATTTTTAACATTGACTTTCCCTTTCCAGCTCATAATGCCAAATAAGTTTGCTCATTCTTGCAAAATCAGTGATTTGATTCTAGTTCCTTTGCTGTGACTCAGGGCTGCACAGACACAGTATGGCACCCAGATGGCTGATCACTTTGTGGCTTTTGCACGTCCCGGCTTTAAACTACAGTATCTACTGCCACACTGGAGCCCGGCACGTTATTTCTGATGCATATGAAATAATCTGACAAAAAATTTACGTGCAAACCATAACTGCAGTAAATGAGAAGCTCGTTTATGTTTTCACATGCTTGCTGTATGCATTTCTTCCTAAAATGAAAAGCTTAAAGAATAGACTGATTTTAACTACCAACTAAAATCTTTCCGAGTGATATGCTAAGTTATCTGAAATTGATTCTTTTTTATCAGTGGAGGGTTGACAAAAAATATAACAATGAATATTGCTTGAATTAATCTCCAACTTTTTCTATAAGATCAAGTAGTTCTCGAAGCAGCACTCCTTCGAAAGAGAAAATGGATTGTAAAGAGCATAGTAAAAGTAAATAAACCAGTCTTGGACTTTGATGATGTAAACAAATGGAACCTAAATGAAGATTTTTTTAGTGCATACATTTCCTGTACAGATAATTATAAAAACATTTTAGATAGATGCTTGGGATGAGGAGCACTAGTCAATGGAATGGTCATGCAGTTGGAAACATGTTTTGGGGGGACTGAATTTAAAAATGGACGAACTTCCAAAATGTCATGCATGTCTGTTCTCCCAAACAAAAATTGAATGACCAAATAAAAAGCAATGACAAGTGACCACTTTCAGTGGATACAAAGCATTATCATTTCCCTGAGGTGTCAGCAAGCAGATATGGCATTTTTGAAAGACAAAAAGATCAAGGTTGAAGATTAAAGGACACTTTTGGATAAAATGAAGAAAATACATGACAAGGAGAATAGAAAAGAACTTTTAAAAATAAACTTAGCAAAGAAGTAAGATTAATCCCTTTTTTAAAGAAAAAAAGAGCTCTTTCTATTATTAAAACACTTATTTGCTCTTATATTCTCGAAGTAATTAGAAAATTAAAATTTATTTTCCTGATTACATAATTGCACTTACAATAAAAGGTATGTGCAGACTTCTAATGTAGCACTGACTGCCTATTTTAGCAAGTATTAAAACTGTCCAGTACTGCCTCAAGCTCACAGTACCTAAAAAATAGCTCAGTCTCAGACTGATACTTGGGATAGAGACTACACAGTACCAGTTTGGGTGGAGGTGGGAGGGACAGTGCGATTGGTGCTTAGAAACAAGTTTGCATAGATGTCAACACTCAATGTCAGTAAAGAATTAATCGATGGCCCGCAATGTTAATTAGCACAAATCTCAGAAATATAACTTCTAGAGAGAAAGTCCTGCTGAAGTTATCTTATTAATTTGGCAATAAATAACATGAGAGGCACATGGGCAACTCGAAGTGCTCAAATTGGATAAATTCTCAGTATTTCGTGATTTAAACTCACAGAGGTGAGTCATCCATTAACAGGGAAGTGGATCTGTTCTACCAAGATAATGTCAAAAGGCACAAAGGCAGACGAACTGGGCAGAAGCCTTCTGAAGGTAAAAGAATAAATGATACCAAGACTGATATTTTACAAAAGATCTGTGGGTCACAGCAGACCAGAGGCTGAATGAGTGAGAAAGAGAGTTCTGTTATTTTAAAATAAAGACAAAACCAACAGAAAAAAAAAAACTGTTGCCATGATGCAGAGCCAGAAGAAACGTTTCTAGTACATACTAGTCATATTCAAAAGTGTTGCAATAATTATACAAAGTGAAAAGACAGAAAATAAGATCTAGGAAGAAAGTCAGCACATGTGGAAGTATTTGGAAAACCCAAGGGTTAGGAAGTACCTAACAATCTTTTCAGAACACAGAAGGATACTGTAAGGTTGGCACTGACAAGTCAGGATTCGTTTTCACAAAAGCAGAACTTGATTGAATGAATTTAAATAACAGTAATCGTCTAGGGAAGAACATCCTGCTCATGAATGTGAAGGAACTCTGTGATGGAAGCATACCCTATTCTTTCAGATCTTTAAGAGGAGCCCACAGCTGGCCGTCCCAAGTGGATTAAGCAACGTGCCAGAGGGCAGCAGGGCCAGGAACTCCACGCTCTTCTTCACTCAGCACCATTTTATACGGGCCATTGTACAAGCTAAAAGGTGGGAATTTCCGAAGGAAAAATACCTATATTCTGGAGTTCAAAATAAGTCATGCCCTGAAAATAAATTTTACTAGGTCTCTGATCATTAAAAGTGAAAACCATTCTGCTATGTGAAAGTAAGTACTTCATTCCTTGCTCTGTACAGAAGAGTCTACAGGGCAGCGGAGACATCTCCAAATGTCAATTCATTTGTTTAAAAAGATAAGAACAGTGAATAAACTTCAGTAAAGCAAAAGAGCTCTGATTTTTTTCTCTCTTGCTAGATGCACACACTTTCCGCTTGCCCCACTAATACAAGAAGTGTACTGTGCAATGTTTTCAAATCACAAAATTGGTGACTGCGATGATGACAGACTTTCCGTGAGCGAGCTCCTATTGTTTTAATTAACTGAAAGAGTAAGCGTCTCTTTCAAGGGCGAAATGCCCGTCTGTTTTGCATCAGCTTCTTTGAGGTCAAGTAACGTGGTGGCTGGGAACCAAGACGGCCGCTCCTGCAGGCAGCCAAACCCCACCCCGGGCCCTGGAAGCCCCGCTCTGGACCAGCACCAACTGGCAAGGGGGTAAATGGACAAGCAGGAAAGGCCACCTCGACATGAAAGCAGGATTCGAAATGCGAGCGGATGGTGGAATGGGCCCCGAGGTTCCGAGTAGAAAGAAGAGAGGGAGGAAGAAGCCAGGCTCCCCCGAAGAAAGGCCATAATGCTTGACTGCACATCACAGAAATGACAAGGCCGTCCTAGGACCATCTTTGTGACTCACAGACTTCTGGTGGATTCTCAAGAGAACCCTTTTAGTACAGCGGTCCACTGTGGCAGCCCACTTCCTCTTTGCCTCCTCCTCCTCCTCCAGCAAGCACCGCCTCAGGTCCTGTTTCTCGGCCTTGCTCAGGGTCCTGTCTGAGGCGGGCCGCACTAGCTGGGTCAGGTTCAGGTGGCTGTACAGACTCCGCTCCACCACGTAGGTGATATTGAACTCGCTGACGGCCGAGCGCCCGCGCACCCGTCTGCCGGGGAAGCCGCAGCTGCCTCCCCCTTTGGGTTTCGGCCGGAGCAGCTGCAGGTCACAGGTGCTGCTGGGGACGCCTTTTCTGGAGGGACGCTGGCAGAGAAAAGCTCTGGAACAGGAATAATTAGTATCCGTTTTCTTCAAGCGGATTTGCTTCCGGACACTCTGAACCTCCTCCAGGGACACCAGAAGGTGGTGCCTGCGACGGCTGTTGTCATAGAAGCAAACGCCATCCGTACTTACCCCGTGGCTCAGGGACCCGAGACCCTTCTTCATCTCCCCCTCCGTGAGGGAGCGGGACACTTTCTGGGCCTTTTCTTCTTCTGGGTAGGAGAAGAACGTCCCCATCTTCTTGGGGGGCTTAATCAGGCCCCGACTCTCTCCTTTGCTGAAGGTTTTGACCAACTTCCGGCCGGCTCCCCAGGTATCCAGGCTGCTGGACGACGGAGACGTGGTGAGAGAGTCCGAGTCATCTTCCAGAGGTTTCTCAGGAGAGCCGTCAAAGAAAAAGGGCTTCTTGTGCACTCCAGAGTAAAGGGCAGACCTTTCGTCCAGGACCGGCGGATTCTCAAACACGTGCTCCTCCCCACCTGCAGGGGAACCAACACAGAGTCCCCTGTGAGCACAAGCTCTGCATGCTCTCATACATCCCTATGTACACTCCCCGCCCTGCAAAAAACGAGCTAGTCCACACAGAGACCACAATGACCTCCCTCTGCATAGCATCACCCTCTTCATAAACCCGGCTCCCACCGAAAGATGCACATAAAAATGAAAATAAACTGCGAATGCACAGTTTCACATAAGCTTAATGTTAAAAGGTTTCAGGTGTGTTTTCCTCTCCTTTAAATATCTTTGCAGACCAAACACCTCCACAGACCTACTGAAAATGCCGTTTGCAAATCTAAGCCAGTCATGATCATGACATGCCTCAGCATTTCAACGTAATTTCTCCTCAGTGTCTAAATGCAATCCTCAGAAGCTAGGAATCTGAACCTTTCCCCTTTCTCAAAGGCCCTCCTTTATGTTGGCTCTTGTGGCTTTTTATAGTTGGAGAGTGATGAATGCCACGTGGCTGACAGTGATTTTTTTTATTGGTACATATGCCATTTAAGTGATTAAATCTCCAAGGGAGCTTGGGTGGGGCGAAGGAACATAAAAGGTTGTATCTCGCAAACATGATTGACCAATGATCTCCTGTTGACAGGCCAAACACAAAAAGTTAGGGAACTGGGCGATCCTGGCTGGATATTCAGCTCAGGCCCTGCTAGGAAGCTGCAAGGGCATTTAAGGCCCCTGACACGCAGGCAGTTCCGTGGAGCGTCCCACTTCGGCTCCAGGATTCCAGCTCGTGAAACCCTCACTGGACCCAGGTGGCGGCCAAGCCCTCCGGAGCCCAGTGGAAAGGTTTGGACGTGCTGGCAGGAAAACTGAGTTCTTTTCTGGATGTGTTATGTGCACAGATGTGAGAAAAGAAGTAGGTCAAACTGTGGGTGTAGTGATCCCCACTGGCCGCGGCCCTTTAATTAGAGGGAAACTTTTGAGCTCCGCAGCTTTCCCCTCGCTGAAATGCAAAGAGGAAAAAAGAAACGGTTCCTTGGGACAGAAGGATGGCACTAAATATACCAGCAGGGACGAGGGTGCCAGTGTGCTGTTAGTGCGGTTAAATGTCAGAGATAAAGGGGGAGGAATGCTCATTTCAGAGGGGAGAGACGGCTGGAACTGGAGCAGTCCTTTAAAATTCTAAAGAGGGCTTATGTTCCAACTGGTGGGAATTACAGTTACGAATACACAGAAAAAGAGACGGCTACTATTAAACACAGCCCAAGATCGAGTTCACGTTAATGTCTAAGAGATGGTAGGGGGTGGGGGAGGTGGGAAGGAGATGCATTCGAAACTAGGTCCAGTCCAAAGTCCGCTGCAGAACCATTCAGGGATCTCTCAGGAGAGTTTAAAAGCAGGGTCCAGGGTCCTGAGGAATTTGTCAGCCCAGAGGCAGTGAGCAAATATCATGGAAGTTTCCTGCTCCTTCCTCAGGGCACCATACTAATCAGGTGGGGAGACCAAGGGTCTTTATATTGTTTTAGGTAAAAATGGCAACCTCTTCTAGATACAGCCCAAACTCCACTGCCAGGAGGAAGTGGCTGAGCCACGGCACAGGCTAGTGGCAGAGGCAGCCCCGCAGTGGGTTTCTCTATAAAAAAAGTCAGACATGGTGATGGCTTTGCATTCAGCCCAGGTGTTCACTCTGACGTGCAAAGGCCCTTATCCACTTGGCAGTAGCCTGGACATCTTCTGGCCTCCGTGTTTGAGGTTGTCGTCACAGAGTCCAGTGCTTTTGTTTCATATCTGGGTCTGTATGCAGCTGGTGCATGCCTGCCCATGACGTGTGTGGCTCTATTTTCCAGTTCTGGAAAGTCTGCCTCTAGTAAGGAGTTGAAGGGAAATGTGGCAAGTGCTTCCCAGGTGGCTGTGAGGCCTGTGTCGAGAGCAGGCCTTCCTCAGCGTAGGTCCTCTGTCTGAGCCTGACCCTCGGCCTGACATCCCAGCCTGGACCTGGATCCCTTGGATTTGGAGCATCACTTCTCCCATTCTCCTCTGACTTAAAAGTACAACTATCCATCCCCTTCAGTGTGACTTGCCTCACATGACAGACTTTTACCGTCTTAGTCAGCTGAGACCCAAATACCAAGGTAAAGGTGATTTTGGCGGGGGGAGAGAGGTAGGATGTGGCTACTGCCAAGAACATGGATTCATGTGCTAGACTCCAGCACCAGGACCTTGGGCAATTACTTCCTTCTTTGGAGCCTCCGTTTCGTCACCTGCAATCATGCCTACCCTTACATGATATCCCTGGCAAGGCTACCATGAGGACAATGTTACGTGTAAAGAGATACGTGAAGGTCCTCAATCAGCTGAAACGCTCTGTATAAAAGCCGATGATTCAGCTGTGTGCAGCTGAGCCCGAGTGATGGGAAGAGTGTCTCTTCTGGGGCAGAGAAACAGAAATGGGCGGACAGAGGGCACTGATGGGGCCTATATTAAATATTGTCCAGAGCCATCTGTGCCGCGATATAAACTCGAAACCCAAGTTACAAGGGTGAGATCAAGTGAAGAACTAGGACTCTCCTGGCTTCCCCGGGGCTCCAGAGCTGGTTGGGGGAGACGAGGTGGGACCAGAGTGGAGACACAGGCTGCTGGGGGGAGCCCGGCTGCCTGGTGTCACTCTGGGCCTTCCCTGGCTGGCCAGGTGACTAGGAATAAACTACGAAGCCCCGTTGCGGCTCAGCTGCCTCATCTGTGAAATGAGGGTGGTATAATTGCCTGCCTCTGGTGGCTATTCTGAGGGTGGCGTTAAAAGGGGATATAAAATCTAAAGTGTTTAGGGAGTGCCTGGCTCATGGAATGCTCTCAGAATAAATGGTAATTACCATGCAGACAATGTAGTATTGGCACAGGCATGCATGCGGGAAGTCAAAGGATCAACTCTTTGTGAGTTCAAGAGCGCTGGGAGGAAGGGTTATTATTGGGAGTGTGAATTCTTCCTGCTTTGCAGGAAGAACAGGGACCAAGGGAGCCCCTCCCATGTACCACTTCTTTTGCCAGTGAGGAACCTCAGAGAGTTCTGTCATGCAGGGGCTGAAGGGAGTGCCAGTCTAGCAGGGTGTTGGGGGCAGCCCAAAGCAGGTGCCCTGAGCTACACACACACACCTGACGCCTGTCCAGGAGATACGGACAAGCCCGGCCAGTGGCACCTCAGATCCTGACACATCCGACACCAGACTGTAACTTGGGACTCAAGCTCACTAAGTCCATCGTCCATCAGTGAAACCTAATTCATGCCCAGATGGATTAAAATTCAGAGCCAGAAGTCCATATAGTTATTACTTTTTACCCTAGAGTTATCTCTTTTGGTACATTTTTTCTTATTTTTAACTGTGTCTCTCAGAGATTGTTGGATTGATTTATTCTGACATAAATATGCAAATTAGGCTATGTGTATCTTTTTAAACATGTTATTCTAGTGCACATGGCCATCATGTGTGAAGGGCCCAATGGGTGACAGGCCCAGCACTGGGTACTTCACCCATTTTATCTCAGTTATGGACAAGACACAGCAATCTATTTGTTATATTTGAGATTTGATTTTGGCAAGTGGTCATGAGGTTTGTTTTAAAATGTGCCTTCAGATTGAATGTTGACAATTCCATATGGTTCTTCCTGGCAGCACCAACTGACACTCTGTGTGCGATTTCAGTAAGAGCTGCCACGGTACGAGCAAATCGAGGGTATGTTCTATACTGTGGAAACCACGATTGCCAGGCAGGTATCAAAACATCCAAATGTAAAATCAGCACTGCATTATTACCAAATGAAACCCTGGAATTAAAGACAACTCTAAGTTTATGAAATTAGCCATAAAGCTGATTTCTCCTAGCACTCTGGGAGGCCAAGGCAGGAGAAATGCTTGAGGCCAGGAGTTGGAAGCTGCAGTGAGCTATGATGACGCCACTGCACTCCAGCCTAGGTGACGGGTGGGGGGTAGGGGGGATGGCAGGGAAGCTCATTTCTCTCTCTCCCCTCCCCCTTTCTCTTCCCTCCTAACTCCTACTGTCCCATAGTAACCTCCTTACCTTCCATATTATTCTAGGAGATTTAAATCAACAAATAACGACAGACAAACAAAAATAAAAATGTAGCAATAATAAGAAACCCTTTGTAAATAAGAGGAAGTTCATTTCCTTACATGGTTTAATTTTATTTATATATAACAAATAAGCCTCTACAAAAATAATTTCAAAACCTACATGTTAAAATTTTGAAATTCCTCACAATGTAGATGTGACATTTTAAGAAGTAACATGCTTTTTTTTTCCTTAAAGGCGTGCGCTAGTATTTTTTTCCTATTCACATATTATCATTTTCCAAACAGGAAAACCTTATTCAATTATTTTATCTCTTTTGGGAGGACTTATAAGATGCTGCAAATGCACATTACTAACAAGAGAGACGAGTACGGTTGAGATTTAAACCGGCATAATTATACTTGAAAGGTTTACTATTCATTTCAATAAATCTAAGCTGATGTCTCTTTTGACATTATAGTTTCATCTGGCTAACCCAGCCATATAGCTCTTAAAAGTCCCTTTAGAATTAAAGGTCCTTAAGGGCTCATTTGAATTGAGACATGAGATTGTTTTCAAGAAGAACAAATCATCTCTGAGAGATCTGAAGGAACACTAAGTGCCTTGACTATTAGATGTTTGTTCAAGATGTACGTATATCAGATTTGGACTAAATTCACTGAGCAAGAACTATAGTCCTTTTTGGGCGCGGAGGCTTAAAAGCTATAAAGAAGTTATAAAATTACAATATAAAATGGTATAAGCTCATAATTATAGCTATACCACACCTTGAGAACATTTCATTGTCATATACTAGCCATTTCCCATCTTTGTTACATTTAAATGACTAAGCACCCCAAATGCTTTTGACACCAGGATGCTTCATTCTGTAACACTGAGCAGGGACCTGCTAACATGCAGACACGATCCTGTCGGCCTCCACCAGAACTCAATCTGTTTTCCACTTGAAATCGTATTTTTTTCCTACTGAAAAACTGACCCCAAATGATTTCCTTTGGAATAACCACAGTGGTGTTTGCATTTATTTATTTTTTCTTTTTTTACCTTCATTGCTGGGCTTTTTCATTTCTTCCACCCTAATTAGTTTCTTTCTGACTCTGCGAGTGGAGTTTACCAGCTTGTGTAACCTCTTAAACTTCACCGACTCCTCGGTCTCATCATCCGATTGTTCTCTTGACTGGCAAAGAAACAAAGGAAAAGTTAATCAGATAATTGCTCCAGAGCCTTCCTCTTGCAGCCAGATGCAGCTGGCCTCACTGCCAGTCTGAACCTTGGCAGCTCTGTCGCTGAACTTGGGGCACCAACAAATCTGCCCAACAGGTTTACAAAGCCCCACATACCATTGGAAGGTCTATAATTCGGTGTAGAACTAGGTCCTAGGCATGGAAACACACGCCCTTGCCCTCGAGTGACATGTGGGACATTTGTTTCAACTACTTCCCTGTCCTCTTTTAGGAGAACTCGGCAGGACTCTCTCTCCAAGGCCCGCCCTACGACTCCAGTTACGCTGCTGTGGTTTGGCCCATCAGGATTTGCTGTGTAACGTGGTCATCAACTACTTTTCCAAACCAAAATTCTGTTGACTTTTTCCAGTCCTTCCCCGAAAATCAAAAACAGCAGGGCAGGAAAGGGGAAGACATGCAAAGAGCCGCCTTCTCGCCCATTGGTTAGGACCGTCTGCCACATAGCAGCCATGCCTTCCGCCTCTCCCGGCTCCTTCCGAGGGCTCGCAAGGCCAGCGTGAGGACAGACCCCGCATTCCTCCAAGACAGACAAGGGAAAAAGCTGACCTTTCAGCCATACAGCACAGTCCATATTCCCTAGCATCCCGTTTCATCTTGCAGGGATTCAGTGTGTTCAAGCCCAGCTGTTTTCCCTCAAGTATCAAACATTACAGAGAGAGAGAAAAAAATTCTCTCTCTGCAGCAGTGACCCAGGCTAAAAACAATCCTTTCCTTGTGAACAAAATGAGGGTTTCATTTCCAAGTCAGCTCCAACATTCAATATGCAGCTTCCTCTGTTATATCTGTTCAAAATGTGAAAAAGCAAAAGAGGTCTCCGGCTAAACGAGCGTGCTGCACGGGCCGGATGCCTGGGCACGCCTGGGAGCTCGCGGCCTCGGCACACCCTGTGCGGCTGGTGACCGATTCCAGCTCCTCCTGCACGTCCTGACAGCAACCCTCTCTCCATTTCCTCAAACTCGGTTCACAGAATAGTAGAGAGAGAAATGCCTCAAACTAAAACAGAAAACAAAAACAAACCGCATCTCTGAACACGAGTCAAATGTGGAGACTTTTTCCCCCAGGAAAAGCTCTCATTAATCCCAATTTTACAGACAATCAAACAGAGAAGCAAGAGTTAGCAGAGAACAGCTCAAGAGAAGAAGAGGCAGAGATTATATGAATTAGGCATAGAAATGGTGCACGTGTGAGTCTACCAATATTTTCTTAGCACTATGGCACTCTGTAAGGGATAAAAATAACTCATTTCCTGGCCTCTGTCCTCACCCTGGAGCTCACAGCATACAGCCATTATACATCCTCTCTGTCTGGGTATCAGCAAATCATTCGCCCATTTATGATTAATTATTATAAACCTATCATCAGCAAGGCATCAGGACAGGAATACTTCTCCGTCTTCTGTGAGGTGTATCAATATCTAGGTCCAATTTCTCTAAAATTCCTAGATAAAATGCTGCATGCAGATTTCATAACTAAAGTTAACTACTGGTTATCTGGTAAAAAAAGAATAGAAACTGGACCCCTAGGTAATGGAGGAAGGAGGTTATATCAGATGTTAGCAATTAAGCTTAGGGTATTTGGCCTAAAACTTAAAATGTAAAAAATTAAAATAAAGTACTAAGTATTGCTCCTAACACATAATGGTATTGTCTGGTTTGAATTTCATTTTTACTTGATTGAATTGTTGATGCGTGATGAAACATTCGGAGTGGTCAACCAGAGGAATGAGAACTTGGTTAACCCTCATTCTGCGTAATTGGAACCTGAATGACAACCCACAGTGCATGGAATTATATACAAACATTTAAAAACATTCTGCCTTCTTGATGTAGCTCAAAAAGCCAAGCAATTTTAACAGAAGAAGTATCAACATTATATTACAGAAGGTCTCTGTACATACCTATTGGATAAACCTAGACTATGTCTCTAACTCTTACGTTAAAAATTGTTAAAATCGAGTGAAAATGAAATAAGCACAGATTGTTTGTAATCAAGACACAGGAAGCTATATTACAGAAAGAAAGTCATTGATGTGTATTTCACCCCCACACCTAATTTGTTGGTTTTTGTTGGTATCTTTGGGTGTGGGGGTGTATGGAGTGAGGAGAAATAAAAAGAGAAATGGGATATGGAATGAAGTAATACAAAAATGTTAGCCTACAGACACAAATCATATGTAGGAAAGGCGCATTAGAGTGAACTTCTCAGGGAGAAACCAAAATAGTTAAACCAGGACGACAGACCCAAAGGCAATGCCCCCTCACAGAGTGCTACCTTCCTCTGCCCGGATACACTGTGGTGAAAAATAACTCATTTCAGGTCCTTATTTAACTGTTTTCACATGTTCCGTGTATTTTTGAGAAACATAAGCTCTTTAGAACCTTGAACTAATATTATTTTTATTTTTCTAGAAAAATGAAGGTTTTGGAGCTGTTTGCCATTGACAAATCACAAAAACCATGGCAACCAAGAACAACTTCTGCATTACAGTTTTGAAACTAGACAAGATAGATTTAGCACAATTTATGTGAAGAAAAATGTAAGATAAAACCCAGGTCATTCAAGAAATATGTCTGTGTATATATATATTTTAAATGGAAAATTTCCTCTTTAGTCAGCCTAGAAGTTACTAGAGTTCAACAACGTATCCCGAGGATGCTTTTTATTGACGAAGAGGTGCTGACTTCTCACTTCCTCCTAAGTCCAGAGGAAAAAATGAGTCGTGAAATATTTGCCTTTAAAAAATTCTCTCCAGCTGTTTTAACACAAAAATGCTGTAAATGACATGCATTTCTCCTACACTGGAAGTAAAGCTTAAATTCTTCATGCTTCTCTTTTTAATAAGCATGTGCCACTTCCCAAATGCTGAAAATAACGTATCTTTTTATTCAGGAAATATGCCACCAGGGGCGGGGGTTTGAGAAAATTTTTTAAAATCAAGAAACATAAAAAATATATATAATTTTCAAATTAAAACATTATATATATATATTTTAAAAGAAAACTTTCCACCTGAAGAACTTTGTAGAAGATAATCTGCACTGTACATAAAACAAATGATCAATTCTAAGAAATAGGCTCAGAACTATTATAGAACAGGTTTTAAATAAACTAAAGCAAAAAAAATAAAAGTATATATTCATACACATTCAAACATGGATGGTGTCACCCCAGGTCCGAGCACTAAAATAAACCTTAATATGATCATCGTCTAAAGAGAAGGTAAACGCGATCATCTGTATGGCACAGCCAACCCCCCCAACCAAACCTCCAAAAGAAAAAGGCAACTTATGCCACCAAAGGATGTGGAAAAGTGAATTTACAGTATTGTAAATAGAAACATTTGATTTCCAGCCTCTCTTTTGCAGATTTTTCCAGCAGAAAGCCCATATGGCTCAACTTTTAATTACTTTGGCTAATGCTATATGTAGTAATTCTGTGGTGAATGCTTAAGTGTTTCATTTCTGGTTTCCATAGCAACATTACATCAGATTGCAGACAGCTGGCTCCACAGTTTTAAACCATAACAAATTGACCAAGCCAAGGCACAAAACTATAGCTGCTTTAAAGAGATAGTGCACCATTCGGCTGCCAGGGTGCTGAATGAGGAACCTATGGGGCCGTTTGGCACTCGAGGGGAAGGGTGGAGCCTCCTTCCTTCACAGCTTCTTTTGGAACAAGTGCATCCTTGACACATCTGCGATGTTCTAATAGGAAAGACACGGAGCCAGCGTGGGGAACTTTTTGTAACACAGCTACAGTCAGGACGATCAGAAAAAAGGAACACAAGGAATAGCATCTGTAAGTATAAAGGTTTATGTGCCGGATCTCACTAAAAGCGTCCCCTTCACTGCTGAACGTGAGCCTGTCACTGCTGGTTGGTAATAGATACTTCTTTACTCAACCCTGTAACAAACAGCTCTTGCAACTATGATGCACAGAACAAATGCTTTCCAAAAGCCACATGGCGCTCTCATGCAGGCACAGTAGTAATGTGCTGTAATAAAGGTTAAACCAAACTTGTAAGAAGCAACTAGACCCTTCTGGGGACTTCTTGAGACCATGCTGAACACAGGATTCCAACCGTGCCCTTTGCAGAAACACTCTCACTCAGCTTGCTTCACAAGCTCCAAACACTCAACATACTGTCACAATTAACACCCAGACTCAATCAACTCATCTCCCTCAATGTCACATAACATTCTGAGATATTCGGGCATTTCTGAAAAGTACTTTGAAATCGGAAATGTACTTGCTTGTAAAATTCACACAATGGTCTCTTTTTAACCTGTCATGATCAGACATATATGCTTCTGCTTTCTAGGTCTGCCTTGTCGTGGCATTAATCCTAAAGTTAAGAGAAGGAAGCCAACGCGGTGTCGGCTTATGAAAAGCAATGTGCAACGCCGTCTGAATTCAAACCCTCCCCACAAAAAGCCTCCACTAGTCACAACTGAGCTCCAGTCCATGTATGTTCATTCTCTCAAATTCTTAAAATAATATCCATATTATCTTAAAATAATATTCCTGTCCAAAAGCTACACATTATCACTGGGTGAACCCGCCAGGCAAGAATGCTCAGAGTTACCAGGTAAGGAAGTAAACAGGGGAAGAAGGAGGACAAATCTAGAAGAATTTAAGGGAAAAAAAGAGAGAGAAACATCAGAGGCAGGAGCAAGCAGAAGCTTTTTCCTGAAGCAACGGAAAATGCATTTTTTTCCTTTCCAGTTAAACACATTCAGCAACTTACCGGCTTCGGCATTTAGCAGGCCTACGGGGCAATTTTGAAGACGTCCGTACCCCCCACCCCCTCCCCGCTCGGAGAGAGTCTTCACTCTTCTTGCGTCAACTCTGCAATCTCAAAATTAGGATTAGGCACTCCTCGAACATGTTCCTCTGGAGTTACATGATCGGGCAGGCTCCGCCGTCACAGCTG